CCACCCCCCCCCCCCCCCCCCCCCCACCCAGCGCTGAGCATGTGAGTGCTGACCAATGGCAATGCTTTCCCAGATCTGGCCTCTGAGATGTCCACCTGGGACGGGGTCATCGTGACACCATCAGAGAAGGCCTACGACAAGCCACCGGAGAAGAAGGAGGGGGATGACGAGGCACTGGAAGACGGAGGGGAGGGCGAGGAGGAGAGCATGGAGACGCAGGAGTGATGGTGATGGTAGATGTGGCTGAGAAGGAGGAGCCAGCAGCCAGGAGGTGAGTGACGCAGCCTGTGCTAATGGCTACGGGATTTATCCTGCCTCCACTGGCTTTTATTATGGCCTGTAATTTCTCCATATGCCTCCCATATCACACGCTTGCTGCCTCACCTAGCTGATCTCCCTGGGCAGCAGGAGGCTTAAAGCCTGGAGCCCACCAAGCTGACCGCAAAAGACTAGTGCCAACCAAGCCTGACACGCAAATTATCTGCTCCCACCAATTATGAAAATCTGCGAGTAGAGCTGTCTGTTGTCATACAGCCCAATCGGAGAGCTCGGTTTCACCGACCAGCTCCGACGCCCTTTCAGCGTGTTAAATCAGCCAAAACTGCACCAACGGGGACCGACTGTGTCCGACTGCACCACACACACTCTGACGCGGCTGCAGTCAGCGAATTTCACAGCAGGGCGATGGCTGAGATCGGCTCGGTGTGTTCCAGGGTTAACAGCAAGGGTGTGGATTTGTAACCCAGTGATTGTTAGTTCAAGTCCCATAAGAGGCTCAGTACAGTAGCCAGGGCTGTCGGTGGGTAAAAACAGAGGTGTTTTTCCTTTTTAAAAGATACTGAAATGAAAATGTTGAACACCGATAGTTTGGCTTTGAATTCACATCCCAATCAATGTGAGAAACTTTTTTTAACACCACTTCTGATGTGTTCATTAATGTATTAACGTCAGTGGTGACTTGCCTGCAGCCCCTGTGGCATTTTATAGTGTTAATTTGAATGGGGGGGGGGGAAATAAACCTTGTCACTTGTTTATTTCTAAATTGGATGTCATTTGATCAAATCTTGACTGGTTTTTAAAAATCTTTCGTTCTAGGGTGACGTCGCACCAGCTAATCTTCTTTGACCGCCCCCCCCCCCCCCCCCCCCCCCTCCCCTCCGCTCTTTGAAGAGGAAAGTTTTTTTTTTTTCCTGTTTTGCAGTTTTTGTACATTCCCCCCTTTTCTGTGTTGAATAGTTTACATCCATAGAACACGATGGAATAAAAATAAACTTTTGAGTTTTTAATGTTGTGTTTGGACTCTTACTGCATTTTTTCCCCTTATGAAAAATGACTTTGATTATGAAGGTTGGCATATTACGGGCACACCTTTTCCCTTCCCCATTAAGGAGTGCACGTTTCGCTAAATAAGGTCCTGAACTGGCTGTGCCATTTCTTGCGCAAGTCTGAGTCAAATTAAGCAACGCATTACACATTAAGAAACCCCATTGTTAATCTGGGTAGTTATAAACTCCTTTTAGTGTTAATTTCTCATTTTTGCTAGCTTTCAATTTCTGGGCCACTGTTCCATTTGATTTTTCCTTTTTTGGGGTCGAAAGCAATTTTAAAATAAAAGTTTAGTTTGTTTAATTGCATATGTACAATAAACCAAAAAAATAGTTCTTGGTTTTGGAAGAATGCATGACGACCTGAAATGTGAGGATCAGGGGAGGCTAGCCAGTGGGGAATGTGTTCAAGACTGGCTGGCTGCCCGGTCCTCCAGCCCCCTTCATCCATCCATCCATCCATCCATCCATTCTTCACCACTCATCCAGAGAAGCTCAGACTTTCTTCTCCCCAGCCACCTCCTCCATAGGGATACTGAGGCATTATCTCACTGGTGTGTCCGGGGCCTCCTCCCAGTTGGACATGCCTGATGCACCCCCTCCAGGGAGGCGTCCAGGAGGCATCCTACCCAGAAGCCTGAATGACCTCAGCTGGCTCCTTTTGATGAGGATCTCTATGGCTGAGCCCTGACACCCTGCAGATGATCCCACACTGACTGTCCATGTCAAAGTCAGCGTGTAGATGTGGTCGTCTCCAGCTTCTGCTTGGAGTTGAGGCGCCAGTCAGCTGATCAGTAGCTCAGCCTGTGGTGTTGCTGGGGCCGTGGAGTCGGGGCTGTGAGTCTGACCGCAGTCAAAGCGGAGGGCTGAGAGATGCTGAAGCTGACAGGTATGACGGGCATCACACGGGGATGCAGCACCGCGTAAGGCAACAGTCATTCGACTGAAAGAGAACTATTTATGTGCAACATTCTCCATATGTGCCGATGGGCTTATTCCACTTCGCTAGCTGCGAGTTACGTGAAAGCCGGTTATCACGTAACTGAGCTGAATCACCCCTGGAATAGATGAATTAGATGGACCATGCTACTGACATAGCTGCCTAGAACCAGCGGCTACTGCCTTGCCAATAAGTGTTATGACTCATGCTCTCCATCTGGGTATTGAATGACCTCACTGTTGCTATCTTTTTTATGCTAGATGTAAATAAAATGCTATTGCTCAGATTCTTCTTTTTGGTTATGTGGCACTATGCCAGATGGTACCAGTGTGATCAATCTTATTGAACTGTCTTTTAGATAATAATGGCCTGCGTCTTAATGTGCAGCTTTAAAATGTATTAAGACCCCAGCACTCTGGACACAAAGTTCACAAGAACTTTACACCTGTTTATTTCTGAGAGATCGAAGAGCCGTGGAGGCATAAATAATGATTAGCCTATAACTGAAGGTTCAAATATATATATATATTTTTTTTTAGTTTTTTGCATCATTATTTTGAGGAGAGGTTATAGGTGGTATGTGGCTCAGATTTCTGTGATCGGAAGGTCACCGGTTCAAATCCCAGGGTCATCAGAGTAATTTCACCTTTGGGCCCTTGAGCACGGCCATTAACCCCCATTGATCCAGGGACCCTGGGTGACCCTGCTTTCTCAATTGTGCATCACTTCGGATAAAAGCCTCTACTAAATAAATGTAAGATATAGCTATCTCCGCAGAACGTTAAAGAGAGTCTGAATTTATATGGTCTGTGGAAAGTTTACAGTATGTTTTATAAAAAGTAAGCAGTTCTTAAATAGGGCGACCCACATGTTATTTTGCAAATGGCAACGTATTTATTAGAATAAACGACTTATGTATTAATTACCAGTCTTGAGTTCTATATACACTTGCTCATTGTGGGTTTTCTCCTACGCCTGGACCTGCCCGCTGGACCTACCCGCCGCACCTTATTAAATCAGTGTCGATCTTCTGAAGTCGGTATAACAGCCACCACAGTGAGTCGCTGTCTATCGTATTGATCAGATTAAAATGCTGGAAATTTTCACCCGCTTCTACACTGCAAGCGATTCAAAACAAACACTTTTTCTTTGTCGTTTTAATAATTAAGTAACTTGATGTCTTAGAGCTCAGCAGCAGCTTCCACCGTATAGTATTAATAGTACAGTCATCAATTATTAAGTCTCCCTAATTACCAATCACCTTCCTCGGTCCCTCTTGACTTTGAATCTGAATCCAGGGAACCTCCTAATATTTCCCTTAGTAAATGAGATAATTATTAAATATAGGACATTACATTTGCTAAATATAGAACAAGGATTCATTGTGACCGCGAAAATTAATTTTAATGTACGCTGTAATAGAATGTTTATCTAGACCCATCAGTAGCCTAATATACTGAAATGTCACAGTCTGCCATTGCATCAACACAGTACAATCAAGGTAGCACACAGCCCAGAGTAAAACTGTTGCACTAGATCGCTTGTTTTCCCTTAACCGCTTTCAATAAATGTATCTATGTGTTTATGACCAGAAATGTAAAATTATACGCAATTATACTTACCTCACATTATACTTGCACTACAACTGTAACATTGTACAACCTGAGCCATTTTATTAACTATTTGCATATGTATATGTACACTGTATTTATGTCTTGATAATGTATATTTTTACTGTTCGTACTAAATATATGGAGTTTCTCGTTGAATCTCATTGTACTGTGTAAAATGACAATAAAGGTATTCAGTTCAATTCAAAAGATTATATATATGAGCAAAATATTATCTTCCAAGTAGTAAAGAATTTAAATGCGGTTTTAACGTTGATGTGGGAGCCGGATATTTCTGGGGGAAGCAGATGCCCGGATCCCGGAGCGGCTGCACTTTCTTTTCCGGGACAGTTACTGGAAGCGCCTGTTAGCGAGGAATTAAGGGCTAATTCGGATGGCCGATCGATGGAGCTGGTCTGGTGTCGAGGACTGCAGCACGTGTACCGGTAGCGGCGAGGGGCAGCTCCATGCAGCCAGAACTGGGGCACCGGGACAAAATACACAATGTTTTTTATTTATATGTTTAAAAACATTTTTAAAAAACTGCAGAGTCGTGCAGTAATTATCATTTAGTGCTTGATATCTATGGCTGAGAATGTATCCAAGGCACAATGAAATTATTTATAGTAGTCTAATCAGTTATTCCATTCCATTATGCGACAAAATTGACCAAAACGTATGTTGTTTTCCCTATATATATATATCCCCTTTAATGAATGAATTAAATGGATAGCCTTGTGCTTGTTTTTCGTGACGTCAGATTAATACAAAGAGGAAGCAACAAGGGGGAATTTTGGTTGATTAGTTTTGGAATGAACAATTTCTAGTGCCGAGACATATATTATATAAAAACCGGAAGACAGAGATGTCCACTCTCATGTGACACTCATATTACACAGGTATGGACTGCGGTTCAGGCTTGCACTCCATCTGCGGAACATGACCAGCAAACACAACGCCGCCGTGTGACTTGAATAATCTGGCACAAATCATTAATGCTTGATTCATTTCCAGTAGGCTTGGTGACAATCTCAGAGGAGACAAGCAGAGAATCTTTCTCGAGGGAGAAGAACAAATGCCAAATATTAAAGATGTGCTTGCTTATGTAAGGCTGCAAGAGATTTTTTTCCCTTCCCAGTGCAAGCCAAACTTACACGCTCACGACACTTTTTGTAATATGTAAATGTTTATACACGAAATCTGCACCGCAGCTCCAGGGGAACCGTGTGTAGGAGAGAGTACAGGACTTAGCCATACCGCATTAAACATTTTTACTTAAACTTCACCCTAGAGACGTATAACACGTACAAAACTTTAAGCTGCTAACGTACCGTGCAAAGTGTAGCAGAAACTGACATACGAGCCCCGTGTCAGCAAACGTGGGTGCTGGCAGCTTTGCTCCCTCAGGCGCGCTGTCGAAGCCCTGGTATTTGCATCGGAGCTCCTATTTTTAAGCCGCAGCTCCGAACCTGGAGGCAGCGGACCGTCTCTGCGCCTGTCGGCCTCTTCCTTTGATTTGTGCGCTACCAATTACACCAGCTACAGGTCTGAATTTTAGGCAATTTTGTATAATTTGCTGAAAGAAACCGAGGACACCAGAAAAGCAGAGAGGTTAAATTATTATTCACAGATTCTCCTTGAAAGCTACAGTCTCAAGCTCCATATAATTCTGTCTTTGATTCCGTTTCTTATTAATTTAGTTATTTGTTTTTTTCCCCTTCTATCCCACTATCCACTGATCCATCCATTTCCCAAGCGTTTATCTCACACTCAGAAAAACAATTAAAATCTGTATCTTTGCTTGTCACTCGGGTTTTACCCTTGTAACTGTACATACTAAGGTACAGAAATGGACTCTGAAGAACATCCCAAAGGTACAAACAGCATTAATGTACCATCAATGATACAGAAATGTCCCTCAGAGTCCATTTCTGTACCTTAAAAGGTACAATTACCTACAGCTAATGGTACAATTGACAGACCCTTGAGGGTACAGCCCCAGTGACAAGCAAAGGCACAGATTTTCCCCCTTTTTTTCTGAGAGTGCATATGTAGTTGTGAATATTTATTATACATCAAAATTACGATTGGTGTGTGAGTGTGCCCTGCGATGGGTTGGCACCCCATCCTGGGTTGTCCATGCCTTGTGCACATATTCTGTGGGATAGACTCCAGATCCCCCATGACCCCGAATAGGTTAAGTGGTTAAAGAAAATGCAGATGGCTGGATGGATGGATGGATGGATGGATGGAGTACAATTACTTGAACATTTT